AAGTTACCATGACCACTTTGCAACCTCTCTGACCAGTTTGCAATGTCGTTACAATGTTCCCATTGTACTTGGGTTAGGGGCTAAGTGCCGTTGATCAGAATAAGTAAAGTATTTTGCATGTTTTCATATACAGATGAGCGGGACTTTGACAATTGGGTAACAATATCCAAAAGGTAACATTAACCTCGGTCACATTATGTGGTGTCTAATGCAAGTGATATACGTTGTGCTCCAAATAATACTTCAAATAATCAGCAGTATTATACAATGTTAACAAAGCTCAGGAAGGAAGTCAAATTGAAACAGCCTGGTAAACTTTCTCATGGTGTCATTCTGTTACATGAAATGCTACAGCACACACAGGCAAGGCAAGAGGAACTTCTGAAGAAGTTCAAATGGGAAGTCCTGACTCACTCACCCTATAGTCCAGATCAGTTCCCATATGACTTCCAGATCTCTGGCAAGCTCAAAATGCATTGCAGTTACAACAGTTTCAAATGGACGATCAAGTCAAGAAGTGCATGGGCAGGTGGTTCAAACAGCACCCAACTTTTCTTACAAGCATGGCATTATGCATAGAGTCACAATGGGACAAATGCCTAAATATTTGTGAACAATACTTTTCAGCTTCATTAAATAAAATGTATTAAATATCCTCTGCTACATTATTTATTGACTGTACTAAAATATTACGGATACATGTAACGAATGTTTATGTTAAACAGATGTAACTTTCTTCTACTCACAGATTGGAATATTATAAACCAAACTAAAAAATTATTAAGCAGAAATGGAGGTAAATATATTATTCGGAATTAAAAGAAAATAAATTATGCTTATTCATCTATTAATAATTTCCCCCTTATGTTGCCTTTTAAATAGTATTCACATAAAACATAATTCCAATAATAAATGGCAAAACAAAATCTTTTTCATACCTGTTCAGTCTGTTCTTTTGTTTCAACATTGCACAATAATTTATACAGGTGAAGAACAGGTGCTACTTCTAAATTCTTTATTAGAGGTGGCAATAAATCTAAAACTTGACGGCTACAGTGTTTTAACTGAGCAGCAGACCATACAGCATCAATATGGTCATTTGTTATCCGACCTTCCATTGCAAGAAAGTTCAAAATAATATGACTCTGCTTAATTAGCTATAATAAAAACAAACTGATTATTCATCCAATACTTTATACAAAATGGATAGTAAAATAATTTTACACACAGTTTTGTACTGTTAGCAATTCATGTTTAATTATTATAAAACATGAATTTAAAAGGTTTCCCCTTTCCCTTATGCATCAATTTATTTTACACTGCTTAAAAATCTATTTTGAATGCAAGTACCTTTTCAAATTAATTAAAAAAATTTCAAATTAGAATATAATTTACAATACAGCTATAGGAAAAAAAATGATAGAGTGACATATAAGATCATATTGAAAGAATGTTGTTTCAAAAGTAATACAGAAGATCTGATTTGTTGAATACGCAATTATTACCATTCCAAAAAATTGTGTATTAATGTTATTTCATTTATTTAGAAACTTCTGACCAGCAAGAAAGATAATAAAATTTTTTTTATTTCCAAACTTACCACTTTAAAAAATATTTTTTAATTAATACATAAGTTTTAAAAAAGCAAATTATATTGAATTTTATAGCCATACTGAAGAGTTTGAAAAATATTTATACAGAGACTGTTTGCACACTTTTAAAACGACTTTACTTTGTGATAAAAATAAATCCCTTGATTGGGAAAAAATTTTTTTAACTCAACTATGTTTTTTAAAGAGTAAATTATCGTCTGCTACTTGAAGCTTTTGTTTCGTGCAAAATGGCACTTTTAAAGAAGCAATGGATGGAAGGCTATGTTTGTGCTCTTTCCGATGAAAATCATTCGTATTCAGTTACAAAAAAATAATGTGAAAGCTATGCTTTTTCCGTATCTAACGTAATGATAGACAGCACGTTAATAAGAAGGGGGGAAGCTAAGAGGATTTTGATGTACGGAAAAAAAAAGTATTGCCTGCAGGTCAAAATCCACTGTTAATTTCCTGAAAAAATGGAAAAAGAAACTTGTATCAAAACCATACCCTTCACTCATACCTCTACTAAACCTCCTGATGAATAATTCATGGATTTTTGCATTTTCGCACTTTTAAAAAGGGAAGGTCTAAACGTTGACCTACAGCCCTTCTTTGACTTTGGAAAGTCGTTCAAGAGGAATGAAATAAAATACCTCTTTTGATACTAAAAAAGGCTTTATTGTCTTTTGAAATTACGCTGCAGGAAGATAGTGAAGAATAAGGGTTATCAAATGGAACATTTAAAACACAAAAATTTTAGGTAAAATAATTCTGCAAATACAATGAAAATCTTCTAAAAAAATCTGATGTGTACACCACATGACTTCCTTGTATGGAATATTAAATTATACACATTTTTCTTGCATTTCATTTAACTTATTGATTGAATTAGTCTACTTGACGACAGCGCATAACCACATAGAATAAATGCATTCTCTAAAAATTCACTCTATATTTGTTACCATAGCGACGCTCTGGCGATAATTCACTTAAAAATTATTACGTAATAAATTTGTATTACTGTTAGTTTGCGCGCAGTGCTTCAGTAAAATTTTAAATTTCAGAAAATACAGTTCGTTTTTTCTTATAAAACAAATTCTTATACACATTAAGTAAAATAAATAAAGTAATCATCTATGTATAAAGATGACACACTGAGAATTTCATATATGTATGACAAAAACATTTGACTTATTAAAACTCGAAAAATCAGCTAAAATTCTCAATTTGTGTGCGCAAAAATGATACTCCCCTTCAGTATTATATTTGTTCATATTATAACTCATAATGCACAAAATTTATATCATTTAAAGAACAGAATTATCTAATCGTTGCCACATATTCTATTCAAATACTATAATAAAGCTAGAAAATAAAAGAAATTAAGCAAAAAAAAGGGGAAAGAAACAGTTTTTCAGAGACAATTGAGTATTTCTCATTTAATTAATTCAGTTCTCACTTCGCGAGAAGGCAAAAATACATAAAAACTCAAAATATCTATATTAAAAATTACGAAGTAAATTTCAAACACTTATTTTCTCGAAAATTCCAGAAAGAATTAAGCATGATTTAATTGGCAATAATAAAAGAAGCGTTAGCTTTGTTGTTGCGAAGCTAAGTTTCTCTAGATTGGCACAAATCCACTAGTCTCCTGTTTCAAATATAAACATTAGTGGCGCCATTTAAAAAAAGGCTTAGCGCACATTAAACAACTTTAAAATTGCTGATACTTCTAAAAATATTGCACACAGATTTACTAAAGGCATAATATCCTTACTGGAAGATAAAAAAACATAATTCAATCATTTTTAAAGCAAAAAATGTACAATTACAAACATATAAGAGTAAAGAAACAGAGATCACTGTGCAGGGTAACAGAGTGGATATATATAAATATATTTATATACGTTTGGTGCGGCCGATTGCACCAAAATACGAGGTGCACATCTACATGTTATAGCAGTCCTATATACAAAATTTCAACGTTCTGAGGCTACTCGTTTTTGAGTTATGAGAGATACGTTCGTACAGACGCCACGAAAAATTATCTTCAGAATTAATTTTAAAGCAGATTTATAATTTTTTTGAAGGAAAAGAGTATTTTATTCTGTCCTTACGCACAGATATCACGCAAAAACATCGTTAAATTGCATTCGATAGCGGTCAAAATGGATATTTTCGTTGAACTATGCTGCCTGAAACTTTTCGCGATTACAATACTTCCTTTTTACTTCGTACAAGGAACTAAAAATGGGCGAACAGCCTTTGTAACTCAGTAAAATATAGCATGCAATGATATTTTCAAAGCCAAATAAGAATTTAAAAGATAGCATGCAAAACTTAAAATTAAGTGAAACTAAATTTTTATCATAAAATTTAAAATTATGTAAATTATACTTCAATAAATACATTCCAAATGTAATAATTTTTCAGTAAATCAATGTGAATTAAAGATAACAATTTACATGTTATAGTAAAACAGTTTACATGTTAAAACAAACAAAAGATAACAATTTACATGTTATTACAATATACAATAACATGAATTATTGTTCTCACCTCAACATGTAAATTTGGACCAAAGATGCATTCAATAATTTTATTTTCTATTAACCAATTAGCTAAGGCATTACCAACACTCTCTGCTTCCACTAAGCTTTCATTATGGCAAAGTTCATTATACATATTGATATGGCTCTGCAAAAAAAATATATAACATTAAAAGATATCCATTTGGACATTTAACAGTTATGTTTTATTACAGTAAAGTATTTATAGTTCAGACATATAGAGATATAGAATTTTTCTTGAAAAAGTTATAAATAAAATGCAGCCAAATTTGCCTTATTCATTTTTGAGAAGCATTAAAATGCTCTTTTCCATTTTAGCAAGTTAGGGGGGGATAAAAGAGAACTTTTGCTTGAGCTGATGCAAATTTCCTCACATTTTGAAAAAAAAAAAAAAAAAGAAGAAGAAGAATTTTTGTTTAAAGCAACTTTCTTACCGAAAAGATTCTTATATTGCACTTTTTTCTGCCAAGGCAGAAATACTGATATTGTACACATAAAGGATAAATACAAGTTATGCTTGTACAAATAATCAATGAACAAAGCTAACTAAAACTACGAATGTAATCCCCTAGTTAAAATAAAAGAATGATGTCTTATGAAATGAAATTAACTGAACCACTCCCTCAAAACTTAAGATCCTATCACAAAAACTATAAAATTAAGAGGAAAAAGGTCAACTATAAAGCTGTAGAACATCAGCAATTTAGTATGAAAAGACACTGAACAGGTGGATACAATAAATAGTCATACATACAGCCTAGTACATGGGGATACAATGTGTGAAGTTTTGTTACAATGCTTGAGGCAAACATGAAAACAAAATTGTTATTTAATGGATAAATATATAGCACTGATTTGATTGTAACAACCTCTAAAACAAAACATGTAAAAACACTTGCACTGCTTACAAGTTCATATCAAACATATTTGAAGAAGTTACCATTAGTTATTATGCATATTTATATTCCAGAAAGTATCTATACATGCATATTCATCAGTGTGGATTTACATTACCATATGCATCAGTGATATGACGACATTGACATTATTGCAACTATTTGATCTGCTTTTTGTAAATACACAAGAAATCCAACAGAATGAGATTTGGTGATCACAGAGGGCATTCAAAAGTGTCAGACTAGCCCTAGTTAGCGTACAAGGATGTCATGCCATTAGGTTACCACCTTGAACAGTATAATACTTAGCGACATTAACTGCAGTACCGATAGGTGCAAGTTTGAATCTCAGAGAAGGCATGAATGTTTACAAGTGTCGTCTGCATAGCATGACGACACTTGAAATACAGGCAAGCCAAAAATCTCTTTGAATAGTTGGTGGTAAGGGAAGAGGGTTGGAAAATCCTCAGACTATCCACTGGATATTCTCGCTCAAAATTAAGGTGGAACTGTAGAATCAGTACAGTGGGATGATACCTGTAGTATAGTAATGGTGAAATTCTGGTGTGTTTTATAACTGTTGTATAACTGTTGGAACCAGAGAGAAAGGTAAGCTTTGGTAAAATATCCTGTAAAAGCTAGACTTTCTCTGCTGAATTTATAAATTCTCATAGAACAAAGCAATAATAAGGAGTTCTCTCAAATACCACTAAGACTTTATATAGATAAACTAAAATAATACCCAGATGTTATCAGAATGTAGTATCTAATGTTCAATGACTAGACTTCTTGAAAGATTATTTAAACTACAATAATGATTGTTGTGTCCATATAGGCGCCAAAATAAAAAAATAACTTTTTTTTATTAATCTCCTTTATTTAATGCTTCAAACAGAACAGTTGTCAAGAGAAAAGTATTTTAAAGCCTTAAACCAAGTTCACTAACGAGTTTCGGATACATGTTTCGTTCGTTCGAATCATTTGAGACCCAAAACCGCTTTTTAGTACCAAACCTTTACTTTTAAACAACATTCTAATAGCACTCAAACGTTCAGATCTTTTCCCTACATGCATTCGTACTCAAATAAGAACAAAAATTATATACAAATGCTAAATAATAATAAAAACAATTGTAAAAAACTTTAAAAAGGCAAAAACAAACTAAATTTAAAAACAAAATTAAATCAAGAAGAAAAATTCTACATCAAGAATTCGTGAATCAATTTTTTCTTCAAAACTGAAAAATAAATTGTTCAGTCAAATTATATAAGTCCTAAAACAAGAATGGCTGAATTACTTGAAAATTAGCTTTTTATGAATTTTAAACTAAATGTGAAATTCAATAATACTTACATTAATTTGTGATATTCCAGCTAATCGCATGGTAAGTGTTGTACTGCTGAAATATTTAAATGCTAAATCCAGGCCTTCCTTATCAAATGTTGCATGAGCATCAAGTGGATCTTTCACTGCCGTCCACATAAATTCAAACATATTGCGATTTCCCACTGCTCTCAAATGACTATCTTTGACTTGACAGAGATACCTACAGAAACATTGTATTTTAATTGTAAAAAAAATAATATTTCCTATCTTACTATACCATAATGCAACCACATTACATTTTAACCATAAAACCATTAAATTTGCTTTAAATTACCAGCTTAAAACATGATAAAAATTTTCAAATAAATTCTAGTTAACAAATTTAAAGATAGTTCTTTCAAACTTATAAACTACACACTGAAGCATAAATATTCCTATGAATAAGAATTCGTAAATTTTTAGGATGTTTTTATATAATAAAAAAAAAAAACAGGTAGGACAGATGAAGCTATTGGGAAAAAAAAAAAAAAAAAAAACTTCTGAAATAATGAATAAAGAATACTAATAACTGTCTTCCAAAATATTTTGTCTTTGAACAAGTTTGATCCACTTTGTTATTATTAATCATTATCATTAATGATTTATGTAATTTAAAGATACCAGGTGGGGAAGGGAAAAATTATTTTATCCTAAGCCAAATTGAAAATAAAATGCAATAATTATTTGACAATTTTGATCAATTAATAGTTATGTTAATAACTAAGTGAGCATGTTAATAATTAATTACTGATTGAGAGCCTTGAAAAATAACTTTAAAATTATTTTTCAATCATGGAATTTCCTTAATGCAGTAAATATATTTTTACTACTCTAATAGTCTAATTTTCAATATAATACTTTTATTTTAACTCCAAATTAAAACAGAACTTTGCTTAAAGAAAGAAAATGTTTAAAAAGATATCCTTCTTAACATTCTGATATTTTACAATGATAATAAAATCATTAATTAAATAACAGCTGTCTGAAACACAAACTTTTACAATGAATCATGATGCTGTATGATCACTGCACTAAAATTCAGGGGTTCTCAAACATATTTAAAAGTAAACTTTAAAATACAATAAATGTACATCTTTTGATTCAAATTTATTAACTCAATATTTTATGGTTATATGTTTTATTGTTTAGGTAATGACATGAGAATCTGAACTTACCTTATCATGCACGACCTAAGAGGGATTAGTTGCTGCATAATAGAACCAATATTTATCCATAGTTTTAGCTGAGAAAGAAAGAAAGTAGTTACTATAAACCAGCAGTTTATAAATATTTAAAATATAAACACACAATGCTCATAAGTAGTATAATATGGCACACAAGCATGTATGAATGTACGTGCATTTATATGCTTTAATGTAGTTAGACAAAAATTATGTATGAGGAGTAAAATATGATGTAAATAAAGCAATTCAAACTACAAGATATTTCCAAATCACAGGAAACATATAAATGCAATAAAATGAATAATAAAGTAACCATACAAATATGATGCTAATACGGGAATCTGGTGAATTAAAGACAATAGCAAAAATTAGTATAAGAAACAGATAAAAAAAATAGCGATGATATAAATTGTCTGCCACATGCTGTCTAGTTAGGGATAAGCAATGTATTACATCTAACCAACCATTACAAGTGACATAAGTGTACAGCTTCTGAGTGTACACTCTAAAAAATGTCAATTTTATAAGTAGGTAAAATTTGCTCCTTTTTGAAACACCCTTATATATGTGTATATGTGCAACTAATGTTACACTACCTTCTAATAAATTTAATTTAATAGACTTTTCAATGCAGGAAATATAAGAAATCAGCAATATTAAGAGGATTCAACCTTCACATCTTCTAATGCTAATAGGAAATGATACCTACCATTTACACTGTGAAGACACACAGTGGGAAAGATGAAAATTCCTTATTGTTATTTTCACTTAATATTGAGTTAGACAAAAATTTCAGTTATCTCTAATGAATGCAAACTGGTTACAACTGCTTCTTAATTCTATTGAGTTTATGTACACTGTGCACAAGAAAAAAAGGAGAGTTCTATATCTCCCATTGTACTGGGCCAATTGGCAAAATTCAACTTGCATTTTTTTCATGTCTCAAAAGCACGACTTAATATGTATTAAATTTATATATAGCATTGTTCTAATATAGATATTTTGACACAAAATCGGATTTTTCTGAAATAACATATCAATTTTTTCCATATTTCAATTCTATGACTCAAATTACGCCAAAATACCAAGTTTTGTAAAAATTGCACAAGTAGTTTTTAAAAAATATGCTCTCAAAATTTCAGTTCCTCAATGTTAATTGAGTTTGGTATACATTTATTAATCTCTTTTTTTTATTAAACTTATTTGATTCTTCCTTTCACATTTCGAAATTCAGGTTCATTCCAAATAAAATTTGCCAATTTTTTAAGATTTATTTAAAAAATTTGTATTTTTAAATAATTTTTATAAATTTTTCAAAAAATTTTGAATTATAATCTATAAAACTTTTACCAGCATCTTAAAGTAGACACATTTCTAAGCATACCTGCAAAAAATTACATTTTTTATTCAAAATTTCTGAAGATATATGTGAATTTACATATTAGCATGTTTTGAAATTTGGCATATTTGTTGAAAGAGATAAATCATTAAATGTGGTTTAGACACTTTGCTAAAATTATACGAAAGTAGGAACAATGTGAATTTTTCCCCTGCGCATGCACAATGTGAAAAGGTAGAAACCTGCCTTTTTTTCCACTCCGGCATAATGTAAGGGTAAGGGAAATTGGTTGCTATATATTAAGAAGTTGCTTAATATATGGCATAGTGAATATATGGCCAAGTGAGTTATTCTTGGCGCAAACTGAAAAAATTGTGCCAAGATATATATTTGAATTTCTCCTTAAATTTCGCACCAAATGTAACAAAATTTAATATCTAGGCATAATTTGAGTTGTAGAATCGAAATATAAAAAAAAATTGGTATGTTATTTCAGTAAAAGTCCGATTTTGAGTCAAAATACCTATGTTAGAACAATGCTATATAAAATCTAAGTCACGCTTTCGAGACATGAAAAATGCAATTTGCACTTGGCGGATTGGCCCAGTAGAATGGGAGATGGAGAACTGTCTCCCCCCCTTTTTTAGGTGCAGTGTACATAAGCAATATTTCATTAGAGTAATAGCCTTCAAATTAAGTATTGAGATTTTTTTGCTATGACATGGCTCTTAATATATTGATATATCTGAATTTACATTGAATTTGAATTATTTTAAGAATCCATTTCATGAATGTGACATAAAGAGTAATTAATCATTAAATGCATTTATAGCAACTTGAAAGATGCACTGAAATTAGTGCAAAATAAAGTTAGCATTCAAAAATAACTAATATCACATGCAAATACATTTAAATGACTTGTGGGCACAGATTTAATAAATGAATAATAATTGTTATTATACCACAGAATATAAAAAGTTTGCATCTATTCAGATATTTTTCTCCCACCTGTGTTACTAATTTCACCTGTCTGATGTAATCAGACTAAGCCCATGAATTATTATGACGACAAGGAGTACAAGATTGTGTCTATCATTGGCCAAAGCCTTGAGCACCATGCAGGTGACAGATTGACTTAGTTGATGCTCAGTTAGTTCCACACCAATTTTGAACAACAGCATCCGGGAGGAGGTCTCTTCCCCTTTCAACCTCTCAAGAGGGTTTTCAGCACGTCACATATTTCGAATGCCCCCATGCCACACAGATGCTATACATTTACGAAATATTCATGCCTTCCCCAGGATTCAAACCTGGGTTCTTAGATATAGCAATCAGCATCACTTACCACTTTCCATCTGGGTGGCTCCCACCTTTGTATGAAGCCAGTCTTCTTAATGAAGCTCTCACCCATTAGTGCAACTAAATATATATTTCACTTATAAAACCATCACTGAATGCAACATACCTTCCTGATAAGATAGATAGATCAATGTTTCCATGAGTTTCCTACACATGTGAGTTTGTCTATCTGCTCAAAATGAAATCTAATTTATCCAACCAAACTATATAGCACCATTGTTCATATCCCAATAACAATGTTGTCTGACGCAGATACTACTTGATACCAATATAACAAAAAATGGTACTTGTCTCAGCTGATGACTATCAGACTCCCTGGAATGCAATGTTCATTGTACAGTGCATTGATTGATAGCTTAATGAGCAATATGATAAATTGAAATGTCAGCTAATCTTGCATTCCTCTTTTTTTGCACAAATTCCATTCTTCCTCAGGTGAAAACAATTTCAATTCTTGCACCAGCTATTCCAGCTCATTGATATCATGTATCAAACTGGTATATTATATGTATATCTTTATTCCTGATGTCTATGAAAAAAACTACATGCTTATGCTGTCTTATGAGACACAGTACTCCATCCTGGCAGCTAAAACGCTCATCAGGCCTCACCTGCTAAGACTAGTAGCTGATACATTATAGATCCATTACCTGTTTGCCACACCTTCCATGATAACAGCTGCAGTCAGAATTTTAAAGTAAAATTAGACATTATGCTTTGGCATTTCAGTTTAATTAGTTTAAATTATTAAACAGGCTCATAAAGTTAAATGAAAACTATAAATAGAATTGTAAAATCTCTCACATTTGATATAACACTTATCAATGCATGAGCTAGACTAATTGGTAGATTTTCCGGATCAGCATCCTGAAAGCAAGCGATGAACAATTTCAGCCCTCCTTTATCACAAAAAAAGCACACATTCCTAAGTAAATAGACAGGTATATCCATATCCTGGAAAGAGAAGAAAAAAAAAGAAAAATTCCAAAATTTTTAAAGGAAAGTCATAGGGAAAATAAGGTAGATTTTCATCACAACACACATTTTAGATGCTACCTTAATTGTTATCAGCATTAATCTGCCATATTACTATCTAAATTTTTTGTCTAAATTTCGAACTTTAAGCCTAAAATGTCTCCAAAAACGTGGTTTTCGCACATGTGAAAACTACGCTTTGAACACACGATTTAAGCTAAAAATCTGAAACAAAAACAAAAAATTTAGATAGCAAAAACGTAAAGTTTCTAATCAAAAATATTTGACAAGAATCCATGTATACAACGACATGTTTTAACTTAAAAAAATATCTACGAATGGCACAATGTAGGTAACAAACGAATCTACGAACTACGCACACCTCACTTTAATAAATTAACATAAGAACAATAAATTTCAAAGAATACCATGTACACAGCATCCTGTTTAAACTTAAAAATATCTACGAATTGCACAATTTAGGCAACGAACAAATCTACGAACTACGCACACCTTGCTTTAAAAAATTAACATAACAACAATAAATTTAAAATAATACCATGTACACAGCGTTCTGTTTCAAAAACAACAATAACGACAGAAATTCATACTAAAGAACCAATGAACATAACAAATACAAATTATGTTCATTGGTTCTTTATTATGAATTTCTACAAAATAAGAATATTAAATCTCGTTGATTTGCTTTCTACAAAATTTTGCTTTTTGATTTCTACAAAATAAGAATATTAATAAGAAATAATTATCTTATTTCTACAAAATTAAAACAAGAATAAAATAAAATGCACTTACCATGAAGTAATGCTTTTTTGAACAGCAGAAATACCAATTTCATACCACCTTTAACATGCCACCATGTAATCACTATCATTTTACATGACAGCCAGACACACTACTCCAGAAAATTTATACTATGGTTCACAAATAATAAAATTACAAATCCTTACTTCTATCATGCACAGTCATTAAAAATAATCTCCCAGACCCTCTTTCCACACCTCCAAATACACACTACCCCTTAACAGTATGGCCACACTGATATTTCTTTTTGCTGAACTTCAATTCAACAACTACCATTTTATCTTGCCCTCCCATCTTCTCAGACACAGACGAGAATCAACGAAAGATTTTTCAATGTCAACAGGGTTGCCATAGAACACGCAATTGCACCAAAAACCAGCACAGAACACATATCGCCACATTTGGTGAAATTAGGGCATATATCAGAGTTGTACTCAAGTATTTTAGGAACTACTCTAATATGCGCCCTCAGGTCGCCAAATTTCTTGCCAAACATTTTTGGCAAGAAAGTCCACGCTGCCATATTACTATCTAAATTTTTTGTCTACATTTCGAACTTTAAGCCTAAAATGTCACCAAAACGCGGTTTTCGCACATGCAAAAAGCACGTTTTGAACACATAATTTAAGCTAAAAATCCGGAACATAAACAAAAAAATTTAGATAGCAAAAACGTAAAGTTTCTAACCAAAAATATTTGACAAGAATCCATGTATACAGCGATATATTGCTACGAATTGCGTAATCTAGGCAACGAGTGAATCTACGAACTATGCACACCTCGCTTTAATAAATTAACATAACAACAATAAATTTCAAATACCATGTACACAGCGTCCTGTTTAAACTTGAAAAAATCTACGAATTGCACAATCTAGGCATTGCGCACAAATCAAACAAATAAACTAAACTAAATTACAAAAAATTCAAAAAACAACAACAACAAAAATTCATAGTAGAGAAATAATGAACATAACATTCTACCAAGTAAAAACAGTAAAATAAAATGCACTTACCATACTACATTCCTGAATAAAATTTCGCCAGTCACACAAAGTCTCTGAACAAAAGTGCTACAAATCCACACAAGAACTATCAGAAACGCCCTTCTTCGTCCGAGTTCTCATAGCAGCTATGCATTTCGGATTCCATTTTAAAAGTCACACAGAAATTCCAAAAATACACTTCAATCCTCATAAACACACCCGTGAACAAAAGACGCATTAACAACTCCAACATCGTACCTTTTAATACTAAATTTACTTTCCACACAATTACCTTTTAATACTAAATTTACTTTCCACACAATCTAAAATGCGTGACTGAAATCTTCCCACCACGTCTATCATTGCAACATAGGCCATTTCAAAACACGCACGACACGAACCAACGAGCAATTAAACCACTCCAGGAGAAGAGTTTTCAACGTCAGCAGGGATGCCATACAACACACAATCGCGCCAAAACCCAGCGCAGAACACATATCGCCACATTTGGTGAAATTAGGGCGCATATAAGAGTAGAGCCGTATTTTGTTATACAGGACTTCAGCCACCTGTTCTTAAAACAGACTATTAAACTGAATGATCTATAACATATAATGTACTTAAATATCCCAAATATAATATTCAAAACATATATAACTAGTTCAAAATGGGCCTTTACTTTGTATCTTTGAAATAATTTCATGACTTTTACTCAGATATTTAACTGATACTATATCCATAACTTTAATAATTAAAATTGCACATATATTTCATAATAAACTTATCAGACTTAGCATTAAGCTTTGATTAAAGGTCTCACATTTAATTCAGAGTTATCAATGGCTATCATGAAATTAACCCTGCTTATTGGATAGCTCTGCAAGGAATATAATTTATTGCATATTAATTCCAATCTAACTCTTCCAAAGTATTCAAAGTTTTAAAATCTTAGTATTTTCATGTTTCATTACTGTTTCCTTATAAAAGGCATTATGTTTGTTTTTTCTTTCTTTCTCAATACATATCTCTGTGTATTAAAAATTAACCACTAAAGTTAATTTTTACTATGCATAAATTCTAGTAGCAAACATTCATTAAATGTTAACGACATGCATAAATACTTTATGCACACAGTTTACTTTTATATGCCATTTAATTCCTTCTTTACATTTTGTCTCATATCCTGATCTGTATATAATTCCTATGAAGGTATGTTTGTGCCGACTATTATTAAAAAATTTTTTTTTTAATTTTTGTACGCCATTCTGCTTGCAAATTCAGCTTAATATTCTATACACTTGAATTCTAGCATGCAAAAAACCTGCACTATTTTACGAACAACTCAAAATTTGCACTGTAATATATGATGCATCAATAAAGTAGTCTAGACGTACAGTAATTTAGATATACACTAGAGTTGGAAGTCAGTTACATAAAAAGTACAGTATAAAATCCAAGAATTTCCACATTTTAGATCATCAGTTGAAAACTACTCATGGCATTAATTAAGATGGCTTGTAGGCACAGCAACACTAAACTTCACTTAGATCAAATAGAAGATAACCCCATAAATAGGGCTGGCATGAGTGCACCATATAGTAACAGCAAAAATTTTAGAATTTAAAAGATGCACTGAACAACAGAAGTTAAGGATAGCAACAATTTTAGAATATGGGAAAGGCACTGGGCAGCAGAATTTAGGGGTGAGAAAATTTTTTTAACTTAGGAAAGTATTGGGCTGTAGAACTTAGGACTCACAGAGATTGCATCGAGCAGCAAAATGCATCCCATCTGGGAGAAAAATTCCATTTATGGCACAGCAGCTTCCTTTTGTAGATTTTGATTTCTAGATTTTGTCAGGGAAAAGGTTTTTTAAAATTAATTTACTTTATTTATTTTCCATCTGGTGGTCCAGAACTCCATATATCAAATTATTCCGGATACATTTTTTACTTTTACACTGCTAAGGAGGACTACTGACCGGGAACAAGCCCTTGCAGTATGATGTCCGCCCTGCAGAAGCCATAAAATTCTGGATACTGGGCATCTTGATCTTGGACACTACTCACTATATGCTATTTTTTTTACACATTTTTTAATAACATGAATTGGCTGAGGAATCACTTGCATAAGATGCAGAATTAATCAATACATGGTAATAAAGCTTAATCTAAAATAATAGATGTTCTTGTGCATAAAATTACACTTTAAAGCTTTACAGAGAGGAGGTAAGAAATTATTAACACTTAAGTTTTTTTTCTAACCGAGTACAACGGCGCATAACTTACACAGTATGTCTAAAACAAATTCCAAGGATGAATTTTGTAAGGTATGTAAAGAATTTTTTAAATGAAAAAATGTGAAGAAAATTTTAAAAATATGCTGTTCTAAGCAATAAAAGTTTGAAACCTATAAAAATTTTACTGAAGCCAACAAAGTGATCTCTTTTATACTGCATCAATGAAATAGAAATTAAATATATAAAAAACATGCAAAAGAAAAATTACACATATGAATAAAGACAAAAAAAAAAAAAAAAAAAAAGGCTTACATTTACATCCAACTTTGATTGCATGCTATGTTTGAATGCCATATACAAGGGGAAATTAAGAAGAAATACTTTAGAAAAAAAGCTGAGTATTTTCTCTTTATCCTCCAAGCTCCATGAACTCCAATCTTCTGAGGATTCTTTTTTTGCAGTATGGTTCAGTTTTAATTCAACAGAGTCTTTTTCCGTTTCTTCCGAAGAATTATTATTAACAACTTTGTCTTTTTCTTTGAGCTCATTTTCTTTACTTTCATTATCTGAAGTGCTTTTCCTAAGATCATTATTTTTAGCAGAATCTGCTAAGGAAAGTTGATCATATTTTCGTAATTTAATGTCCTTAGCAACCTGTTGTAAAATTTCTATTATACTTAAAGCCAAACCTTGTACAAGTGCATTGAATCTGTCAAAATTTTTTGGATCTTTAAAACAACATGTGCATTGCCTGTGAAATAAAAAATAACAATATTAAAAACAAAGCAAAACAACAAAAAAAGATTGTAAAATATTACACATCTTGAAAAGCATCACATTTACAGAAACCAAATTTAAACATGTTCAAGGGGAAAAAATTAAAAATACGACTTAATACACATTACTTTTATTACAATTTTATACACATTTGATTAACTTTATTCATTAAATATTTAAATTAAATTAAAAATTAAATATTAATTCATTAAATATTTTATTACAAAAATTATTGCATTATATTCACCTCTAATAAGATCGCACATATGACAACATACAAAAATAAATGCATTTTTACCATAATTATCTCAACTTATTTCAAATTTATGTGTGATTTTAACTTATTTCAAAATTCAATTTGTTTCTCTGAGTGGTCTCTAAGTTTGTCTACCACAAAACTTAAAATCAAGCAATAAATTAAATCTTAGATTGGTGTGGATTTTTTATATAACTCTGTTGATTTCAAGGATCCTTTTGTTCAACAGCAAAAAAATTTCACAAAAGTATAAGAGGCAAAAATCCTATTTATGGCAAAATCTGTGGGAAAGCAAAGAGAAAACAATCATAGTGGCATCTATCATAGAAAACAATAATGGAACATGAAAATATTAAAATGTTAAAACTTCTGAAAGCTTGGGATTGGATCATTAACTTCTCAAAAACCCAAGAAATTTAAAGTCAAAATTATGGTTATCCACTTATCACTAGCTATCAAAATTTTATTTTATTTTTCCTTTTCAAAATAACATTCATGTTCATTGATGTGAAATTTTCAGACTCTTTTAATTTGGATGATATATGTTAAACCACAAGGCATGGAAATGCAAGACATATAAATGGAAGGACAAGCAATAGAAACTACATAGTATCTCCATTACAAAACTGCCTAAATTTCCTATAAATTCAACTATTTTCTGACCTACAAGTACACTTGTAGCTTGACTCTTAAACATCCTATCTGATTTTTAATTCTTGAGAAATTAATAGTATCATATTGGCCAAACTAAAACAGCATTAAAATTTTGCCACAAGGAATGCATCCTATCTTTTAATGGATAAATAAACATATCTTCAACAACTAATCATAGCCGCTCATTAACAATTTTGACTTGGTTCTGTGAAATTAATGTTTAAGCTTTTCGAGTTGGTGATCTGAAGTTCCTTGAAGCCTTTCACAGTCACAAAAATTTACCTTCTAAGGACATAAGCACAATCTATTTCATCTCACTATATTTAAAATTCTAATAATATAGATTTTCACATTTAGTTACTGTTTCCCTTTACAGATGGCACAATGTTCTTGTTTGCTGTTATTTATTACTACATAAATATGGTTGCTTGTTCCTCTCATCTATGCAAAACAAGAGGCTTCATACTTATTTCTTTCCACACTAATTAAAATATTTTTAAGAATCAGCAATGAAAAGAATTAAGGACCTATCAGCAAATAAGAAATAATAATTAAAGCAACTACCTACGTAATTGACTTTACTCAATGATATTCTAAGAATGTAACAAAGATATGTAGGATGCATTACTATCAAATACAGTCTAATATTTAACTATTAATGAAACATGTTTGAGAATAACTCCAACTTCCTAAAAATTATCAAGTCCAGAATTAAATAATGAATATAATTATATATATTCTGGAAATATCTGATCATAACGAAAGTTTTTCTGCCAAAAAACGTTCTAATAAAGTTAGGGGGGAATAAAAGCAGTACCTATAGTGCAGGTAGTAATTACTACCCAAATCTATTATTTTCTGCCAACATTTTGGTAGTTTTTCAAAGCCTTTGGCCTAGAAACTTAGGCAAGATGTAGCTGCAGGTGTGAAAAAAGGTAGAAATTCGAAGGAGCAATATCGGACCTATATGGTGGATGTGGCAAAAGATCCCATTCAAATCCGTACAGAGTCCAGTCGGTGAATGCAGACACATGTGGTCTTGCATTATCTTGATGGAATATTACCTTTTTGCACCGGAATACAGTCTGACCTTCTACCTTGACAGCATCATTAACATGCACTAGCATCTCGCTGTACACATTACTGTCGAGAGTTTTACCTTTCTCCATCCACTCTTTACGGATAATACCATGACAATCCCACCTGATAAAAAGCATAATCTTTTGGTTAGTTAAACTGCCCTTTGCAAAGCCGATAGGTTCACCGGGCGCAGACCAACACCCTTTTCAGCCTAAGTTGTTGAAGTAAATCCACTTTTCATCACACGTGATGATTCAGTCTAAAATTTTGTCCTTGCATCGATATTCTAGCAGATTAGTGCAGGCCCAAACATGTCTGTCCTTATCTGCTTGAGTCAGCTCGCGGGGCACCCAGCGATTGAACTTACTTGTTTGTCAAGTTTATGCGATGCATAGTGCGACTAATGAACATGGCACTAATGTCTAATTCCTTCAGCTCTAAAGTGACTAGGTTGCATACTAATCTTCTTCCACAAGTTCTTGCAGGTGGTCCTTATTGACATCAGTAGGCTGACTAAAGCTCTCTGCTTCTTGAATGCCATAGTCCTTATTTTTGAACTTTCGGTATCAAACCTCCGCAGTGTCATATGATACAACATTAGTACCTAAAGCTATACTCATGATTTGGCGACATTCTGTAGCTCCCTTCTTGCAACAGAACTGGAAGAATATGAAGGTTCTAACCTGATAGCGTGATAGTTCTATTTCCAACGTCTTGTACTCAATGATAACGATATTTATTTATGGATTTCACAATACCGTGTCCTAAAACAAGTCTCTTTCTTTAAAATGCTAAAAATCATTTGACAAAATATGATTAAACACGGCAGTATGAACTGTTTGCACAGACAATATTTGCATTGGTGAGAAACTTTCATTACAACCTGATATATATATATTTTACAGATGTAACAGTCACACATATTTTTAGAAAAATCATCATCATTTTATTTTTTTATACATAAAAAATATGAAACATCCATAATAGTACTACCAAACATTTATACATTTTTTACACTTAATTTTTTTTCTAGATATTTAGTATTGAATCTAATAAAAAAAATTCGAACAAGAAAAAATTAATGTATAGTAATGAAATTTCAACTATACATTTGTGTAAGTAACACATTAAATTTTTAAGATCATGGATTGAAGCAAACATGAGAAGAGCCATTTCACATGTGAAATGCCGGTACATTAATAAGTGGTGTACTACCAGAATTTTAAATGCAAGCATGCAAATCTGCATACATTGCATTGTATAGGTGCTGGATGTCAGTTTGTGGGATGGAGTTCCATGCCTGTTGCACTTGGTCAGTCAGTTACAAGGGCAGTTAAGTTTTGGTTTGTGGATGACGTGTATCATACATTCAAACATTCTAGATAACGTTGTTTCGTCACAGTTTGAGAAACATACATATATTTATGCAGATTCTACCTTATTCAATTTCTTTAAAAATAATACAGGGTGAAATTATTTGGTGGCAACAATTTGAAAAGTGATATGCCATGTATAGCGAACCAATGCAATACATGTTATATTAAATTGTAAGAATCATTCCCATTAATAAATTCAATTTCAAGCTTAATATTAGGCCTGATTTTTGGACTTGGGTTTAATGGAACTGCTAGTAACAGATTCAATATATGAACAAAATTAAATGCTTCGGAATGACACATTATGAAAATTACAAACTGCAAATAATATACCATGTTTCGTCTTAACTTGCAAAGGTCATTCCAAATTAAGTACCTGAATCCTGCCTAGTTACTTCTTTGATTTATACTTAGAAAATGTGTTGATTGATTATTCGATTATAATAACAAATCATATAGAAATAAATTAATATACAAAATAATTACATTATAATAAATAGCTACAATTAATTTCCACTTCCACCCCCTTTTGAGTTGGGATTGCAAAGGGAGAAACCATTCCTTCAGGGGGTTACCTTTAATAATTTTCAGGTAAGAGACTAAGAAATACAAAGAAACTTTTCCTGTTTTCTGCTGACTCCTATCCCTGAACTGGGGTAGGTCACAAAGTTACTATTTCATAGTCGAGTGATGAAATATTAACTTTTGGTTAAACACTGAGATTATGGCAACTGTTTCACACTAGTGGCTATCTGCCTAAGGGAAGGAATGCCTTCGTGGAGGACTTTCTATGGGAAACTAGCTCATATACACCTTACATATGGGGAAAACCACGAAAACGCCCATGCAGCCAGCTCGTTCGTGGGGTTCGAACCTCGGACCAAGCTACCAGTGTTCAGCGACAGTGCGCTCAGCAGCTGGTGGGCCCAGTCGAATGATGGAATATTAACTTTTGCAAACACTGAATTTAACTGTTTCATGTGCTTCCAAGGGCCGATTTTCTGCGTCATATACGGAACTGTGTCACTGCACCATAGAGGTAGGGGGCCCTTAAAAACTTAAAAGAAGACGAATTCTATTATATGTTTCGTCAAAACAGAAGAATCGAGACTGCACATGACTAGAATCCATCTTTTAAGTTTTAACATGTAAATGTAGTTCAGCTGGACATTTAAGGGACCAAGCCTTCGGGCCCCTATGTGATGGCAGTTCTTGCATACCCTTATTTAACGCCACTGGACAACACTAGAGTTGTCATCCCATTATGTCCCATACGTGTTCAACAGGAAGAAAGACCTGGTGATCTAGAAGGCAGGGCAACAGGTCGATACTCTGTACAGCATGTTGGGTTACAACAGTGTTATGAGGGTGAATGTTAATGCTATTGGATAACCCCCCTTGAATGTTGTTCATGAATGGCAGCAGAACAGGTTGAATACCATCAGATTGGCATACAAATTTGCAATCAGGATGCGTGGAATAACTATCAGAGTGCGCCTGATATCGTACAAAACTGCTCTCCAGACCATAACTCCAGATGCGTCTAGGCCATAGATAGGTTGTTTGCAGACACTCACCTGGCCTCCTCGTAACGAACACATGACTATC